GAACCACGTACTTCCTTGTGACTGTTGAGAAGGTGAGTAAACAGGTGTGACTTGAACCACGTACTTCCTTGTGACTATTGAGAAGGTGAGTAAACATGTGAGACTTGAACCAGGTACTTTCTTGTGACTATTGAGAAGGTGAGTAAACAGGTGTGACATGAACCACGTACTTCCTTGTGACTATTGAGAAGGTGAGTAAACATGTGAGACTTGAACCACGTACTTCCTTGTGACTATTGAGAAGGTGAGTAAACAGGTGTGACTTGAACCAGGTACTTTCTTGTGACTATTGAGACGGTGAGTAAACAGGTGTGACATGAACCACGTACTTCCTTGTGACTGTTGAGAAGGTGAGTAAACAGGTGTGACTTGAACCACGTACTTTCTTGTGACTATTGAGAAGGTGAGTAAACAGGTGTGACATGAACCACGTACTTCCTTGTGACTATTGAGAAGGTGAGTAAACAGGCTACACTTGAACCACGTACTTTCTTGTGACTATTGAGGTGAGTAAACAGGTGTGACTTGAACCACGTACTTTCTTGTGACTATTGAGAAGGTGAGTAAACAGGCTAGACTTGAACCACGTACTAGCTAGTGACTATTGAGAAGGTGAGTAAACAGGTGTGACATGAACCACGTACTTCCTTGTGACTGTTGAGAAGGTGAGTGTACAGGTGTGACTTGAACCACGTACTTCCTTGTGACTATTGAGAAGGTGAGTAAACAGGTGTGACTTGAACCACGTACTTCCTTGTGACTATTGAGAAGGTGAGTAAACAGGTGTGGCTTGAACCACGCACTTTCTTGTGACTATTGAGAAGGTGAGTAAACAGGTGTGACATGAACCACGTACTTCCTTTGTGACTGTTGAGAAGGTGAGTAAACAGGTGTGACTTGAACCACGTACTTCCTTGTGACTATTGAGAAGGTGTGAAAACAGGTGTGACTTGAACCACGTACTTCCTTGTGACTATTGAGAAGGTGAGTAAACAGGTGTGACTTGAACCACGTACTAGCTAGTGACTATTGAGAAGGTGAGTAAACAGGTGTGACATGAACCACGTACTTCCTTGTGACTGTTGAGAAGGTGAGTATACAGGTGTGACTTGAACCACGTACTTCCTTGTGACTATTGAGAAGGTGAGTAAACAGGTGTGACTTGAACCACGTACTTTCTTGTGACTATTGAGAAGGTGAGTAAACAGGTGTGACTTGAACCACGTACTTTCTTGTGACTATTGAGAAGGTGAGTAAACAAGTGTGACTTGAACCACGTACTAGCTAGTGACTATTGAGAAGGTGAGTAAACAGGTGTGACATGAACCACGTACTTCCTTGTGACTGTTGAGAAGGTGAGTATACAGGTGTGACTTGAACCACGTACTTTCTTGTGACTATTGAGAAGGTGAGTATACAGGTGTGACTTGAACCACGTACTTCCTTGTGACTATTGAGAAGGTGAGTAAACAGGTGTGACTTGAACCACGTACTTTCTTGTGACTATTGAGAAGGTGAGTAAACAGGTGTGACTTGAACCACGTACTTCCTTGTGACTATTGAGAAGGTGAGTAAACAGGCTACACTTGAACCACGTACTTTCTTGTGACTATTGAGAAGGTGAGTAAACAGGTGTGACTTGAACCACGTACTTCCTTTTGACTGTTGAGAAGGTGAGTAAACAGGTGTGACTTGAACCACGTACTTCCTTTTGACTATTGAGAAGGTGAGTAAACAGGTGTGATTGCAGCAACGTACTTTCTTGTGACTATTGAGAAGGTGAGTAAACAGGTGTGACTTGAACCACGTACTTCCTTTTGACTGTTGAGAAGGTGAGTAAACAGGTGTGACTTGAACCACGTACTTCCTTTTGACTATTGAGAAGGTGAGTAAACAGGTGTGATTGCAGCAACGTACTTTCTTGTGACTATTGAGAAGGTGAGTAAACAGGCTAGACTTGAACAACGTACTTCCTTGTGACTATTGAGAAGGTGAGTAAACAGGTGTGATTGCAGCAACGTACTTTCTTGTGACTATTGAGAAGGTGAGTAAACAGGCTAGACTTGAACAACGTACTTCCTTGTGACTATTGAGAAGGTGAGTAAACAGGTGTGACTTGAACCACGTACTTCCTTGTGACTATTGAGAAGGTGAGTAAACAGGTGTGACTTGAACCACGTACTTCCTTTTGACTGTTGAGAAGGTGAGTAAACAGGTGTGACTTGAACCACGTACTTCCTTTTGACTATTGAGAAGGTGAGTAAACAGGTGTGATTGCAGCAACGTACTTTCTTGTGACTATTGAGAAGGTGAGTAAACAGGCTAGACTTGAACAACGTACTTCCTTGTGACTATTGAGAAGGTGAGTAAACAGGTGTGACTTGAACCACGTACTTCCTTGTGACTATTGAGAAGGTGAGTAAACAGGTGTGACTTGAACCACGTACTTCCTTGTGACTATTGAGAAGGTGAGTAAACAGGCTAGACTTGAACAACGTACTTCCTTGTGACTATTGAGAAGGTGAGTAAACAGGCTAGACTTGAACAACGTACTTCCTTGTGACTATTGAGAAGGTGAGTAAACAGGCTAGACTTGAACAACGTACTTCCTTGTGACTATTGAGAAGGTGAGTAAACAGGTGTGACTTGAACCACGTACTTTCTTGTGACTATTGAGAAGGTGAGTAAACAGGCTAGACTTGAACAACGTACTTCCTTGTGACTATTGAGAAGGTGAGTAAACAGGCTAGACTTGAACAACGTACTTCCTTGTGACTATTGAGAAGGTGAGTAAACAGGTGTGACTTGAACCACGTACTTTCTTGTGACTATTGAGAAGGTGAGTAAACAGGCTAGACTTGAACAACGTACTTCCTTGTGACTATTGAGAAGGTGAGTAAACAGGCTAGACTTGAACCACGTACTTCCTTGTGACTATTGAGAAGGTGAGTAAACAGGCTAGACTTGAACAACGTACTTCCTTGTGACTATTGAGAAGGTGAGGAAACAGGCTAGACTTGAACCACGTACTTCCTTGTGACTATTGAGAAGGTGAGTAAACAGGCTAGACTTGAACAACGTACTTCCTTGTGACCACTGAGAAGGTGAGTAAACAGGCTAGACTTGAACAACGTACTTCCTTGTGACTATTGAGAAGGTGAGTAAACAGGCTAGACTTGAACAACGTACTTCCTTGTGACTATTGAGAAGGTGAGTAAACAGGCTAGACTTGAACAACGTACTTCCTTGTGACTATTGAGAAGGTGAGTAAACAGGCTAGACTTGAACAACGTACTTCCTTGTGACTATTGAGAAGGTGAGTAAACAGGCTAGACTTGAACAGCGTACTTCCTTGTGACTATTGAGAAGGTGAGTAAACAGGCTAGACTTGAACAACGTACTTCCTTGTGACTATTGAGAAGGTGAGTAAACAGGCTAGACTTGAACAACGTACTTCCTTGTGACTATTGAGAAGGTGAGTAAACAGGCTAGACTTGAACAACGTACTTCCTTGTGACTATTGAGAAGGTGAGTAAACAGGCTAGACTTGAACAACGTACTTCCTTGTGACTATTGAGAAGGTGAGTAAACAGGCTAGACTTGAACAACGTACTTCCTTGTGACTATTGAGAAGGTGAGTAAACAGGCTAGACTTGAACAACGTACTTCCTTGTGACTATTGAGAAGGTGAGTAAACAGGCTAGACTTGAACAACGTACTTCCTTGTGACTATTGAGAAGGTGAGTAAACAGGCTAGACTTGAACAACGTACTTCCTTGTGACTATTGAGAAGGTGAGTAAACAGGCTAGACTTGAACAACGTACTTCCTTGTGACTATTGAGAAGGTGAGTAAACAGGCTAGACTTGAACCACGTACTTCCTTGTGACTATTGAGAAGGTGAGTAAACAGGCTAGACTTGAACAACGTACTTCCTTGTGACTATTGAGAAGGTGAGTAAACAGGCTAGACTTGAACAACGTACTTCCTTGTGACTATTGAGAAGGTGAGTAAACAGGTGTGACTTGAACCACGTACTTCCTTGTGACTATTGAGAAGGTGAGTAAACAGGTGTGACTTGAACAACGTACTTCCTTGTGACTATTGAGAAGGTGAGTAAACAGGCTAGACTTGAACAACGTACTTCCTTGTGACTATTGAGAAGGTGAGTAAACAGGTGTGACTTGAACCACGTACTTCCTTGTGACTATTGAGAAGGTGAGTAAACAGGTGTGACTTGAACAACGTACTTCCTTGTGACTATTGAGAAGGTGAGTAAACAGGCTAGACTTGAACAACGTACTTCCTTGTGACTATTGAGAAGGTGAGTAAACAGGTGTGACTTGAACCACGTACTTCCTTGTGACTATTGAGAAGGTGAGTAAACAGGTGTGACTTGAACAACGTACTTCCTTGTGACTATTGAGAAGGTGAGTAAACAGGCTAGACTTGAACAACGTACTTCCTTGTGACTATTGAGAAGGTGAGTAAACAGGCTAGACTTGAACCACGTACTTCCTTGTGACTATTGAGAAGGTGAGTAAACAGGCTAGACTTGAACAACGTACTTCCTTGTGACTATTGAGAAGGTGAGTAAACAGGTGTGACTTGAACCACGTACTTCCTTGTGACTATTGAGAAGGTGAGTAAACAGGCTAGACTTGAACAACGTACTTCCTTGTGACTATTGAGAAGGTGAGTAAACAGGTGTGACTTGAACCACGTACTTCCTTGTGACTATTGAGAAGGTGAGTAAACAGGCTAGACTTGAACCACGTACTTCCTTGTGACTATTGAGAAGGTGTGTAAACAGGCTAGACTTGAACCACGTACTTCCTTGTGACTATTGAGAAGGTGAGTAAACAGGCTAGACTTGAACCACGTACTTCCTTGTGACTATTGAGAAGGTGAGTAAACAGGCTAGACTTGAACCACGTACTTCCTTGGGGAAAGTCCAAACAATAACTAAACTAAGTCAACAAGACATGATAAGAACAGCAGGAAATCAAATCTGCAACGCATGTCGCATTTATAACGCACAGTTATTAGGTCGTTAACATAACAATGAACAGGAATTGCAGCAGTCCAGCAAAATGCCAACACTTGAAATATATCTACCTTCCCTGCAGATTAAAGTGCTGTACAACATTCTCTACCTAGCTACTTTCACTGCAGACAGAGTTGATGCACAACATTCTCTACATATCTACCTTCACTGCAGATTGAAGTGCTGTACAACATTATCTACCTATCTACCTTCACTGCAGACAGAGCTGGTGTGCAACCCTTCTCTACATGTCTGCCTTCACTGCAGATAGAGTTGATGCACAACATTCTTTACCTCTCTACCTTCACTGCAGATAGAGTTGATGCACAACACTCTGTGTCTGTCTACCTTCACTGCAGGTAGAGCTGCTGCACAACCTTCTCTACCTATCTACATTCACTGCAGGGAGAGTTGATGCACAACGCTCTCTACCTATCTAAATATTGACGCTGCGTAATTGTGTACGATGGCGCTGCAGATACGAGGAGAATATAGGAGATAGAACGCTGAGCGTCAGTAGCGACTTGTATGTTCAGGTGGTGAATACATTGCTGCCCCTATGCATGTGTTCAGCCACTTGTTCCTGCAGCGGTCCCCCCCCCCTGTCGTCCTGAGGCGTGCACCATTACAACACCACACAGACAATTACACAGGTTAGAAAGCAAGCCCCGGCGGAAGACGATCTCGCTTCTGCTGCAGTCCTCAAAATAGACCGTAGCAGACGACTCAGCAGGGCATCCAGGATGTAAGTGTCATTGCAACTTGTTCTGATCTCACTGAACATAGACTGGCTCGACCACTGACATGCAGCTCGGGGTAATTCAGTAGGAGCGAGTTAATCATATGTACCGTATCCTTCCAGTACTTTCACCGGTGTTCCTCTTTTTGCTTGTCCCACCTGTGCCGTCTGTCAACAGGTGAGCCTCAGGGTTGTGGGTATACAGTCAGTTCTATAAGCGACTTTTGCAAGTCTACCGTGCAGTATGCAACGATAAGGAGCTATGCCACGGGTTGCGGCAGATAGTGAGAGTGAATTGGGGCGGGGGAGGGCTGTGGGAAGAGGGAGTGGCGCTGGAGGGGGGAGGACGGACGGAGCAATGTATGCATACCGCAGCTGTGTTGTGGGTTGAGAGAGTCCCGTTATACAGCCACCATGTTACCATTTACATATGCTGGAGAAGAAATTGCGCATTTGTAAGTTAGCCAGGATTGAATGAAGGTAAAATCCCACGGACAGGTTTTCAAATGCCAACAAAGGTTAACACAGAAAATGTACTGATGGCATTGAATGTTGAACGTTTCTTTTGTAAATATACACCTTAGACCTTCATTCATAGTCTCCATATTCGTGGAGCCCTAGCAAGCACAAGAGGTAACATTCATATGGTATCCTTGTGTGACGAAGTTGTCGGGGTCAAATACAATAAACTGTTCACAGAACACGGAATGTGTGATCTCGTGGCACACGCATACACATGATGTCAGTCACCGGATTGTCTGGTCTGGAGTATTTACAGACCACCGACCAAGTCAGTACTTGTGAAGTTGGACTGAGTCTATAGATTCGTGATAGATTTACCACACTTAGTGTTCACGTCTGTAGGCTCAGCTAATTGTTCCTTGTGCTAGCAATACGGCACCATTAGGCGTCAAGAGCGCTCGTTCCTACCTGTGAAGAAAATCAATGTGTGAAGACGAGCTACTGACTGGCTGGGAACATTACAAAACACACGTAACTTCTCAAAACGACTCTTATAGAAAGGCGGAACTGTCCCAGTACTGAACATCGGGTTGCACGTCAAACTTTGGTCTGTCTCACAGTCCCTGAACCCTATTATTTTACCGACAGCATTGCCCTACCTGTAATGCTAAAGCCTAAATGAAACAAGTCTAGATTTCCCCAATGCTTTCCCTGGGGCTCCTTTTCAATTTAAATGAGTTTATTTGTTACAATCAAAATTATATATATTTAGGGACTAAGCGTTAGCCTAGTCAAACTCCTAAGTGACAGCGTTCTGTAGTGAACAGAATGCAGAAACAAACCACAAGTGTGTTAATTGTTTGTATGTGAAGCAAACATGGGTCAGGCTACTGATTTCCTGCTTTTGGGACTCTTTTGATGTGAAATGTTCAGATTTTATATCATGTATAGAAACTCTTGTGTTGCTTTCCCTGTCTGTGAAGCTGTAGTTCCTTTCAACAGCTCAGTGAGGAACAGATCGCAGATAGCGATTGGGTTGTTGACTAGCACGACAACGGGAAAACGTTAATGCTTCCGCAACGACTAGAGATCACTATCAGTGGACATTCAACAAAGATGAACGTTTGAATGAAAAAGAGACCAGTAGTCCGTTTCCTAGAGAAGGAGCTCGACTGAGTTGTTCATTCATATAATCATCATTTAGTCCACAACGCGATGGCCAGCCACGACCTCTACTGGCCATATTTAGAGTTTGGACACCAGCTGACGTTCTGCAATACTGGCAATAAACGCAATGTCTCATCAAACCATGAAATGATAGTTTATTGAGTGAATCATTGTTACTATAAGTGAGTGTTGTGTTGACGAGTGAGACTGTCAGTGTAAAGGTATTCGACTCTATTGTCAACTGCGACAGTGTGTAGAACGGCATGTAACATCTTTTTTTTTACATGTGCGATGATATTCTAGAATGTGTGATGGAGTTTGAAAATGTGTGATGGTGTTCTACAATATGTGATGGTGTTCTACAATGTGTGATGGTGTTCTACAGTGTGTGATGGTTTTCTACAATGTGTGATGGTGTTCTACAGTGTGTGATGGTGTGCTACAATGTGTGCTTGTGTACTACAAAATGTGATGGTGTTCTACAATATGTGATGGTGTTCTACAATATGTGATGGTGTTCTACAATGTGTGATGGTGTTCTACAATATGTGATGGTGTTCTACAATATGTGATGGGGAGAGACAATGTGTGATGGTGTTCTACAATATGATGGTGTTCTACAATATATGATGGGGAGAGACAATGTGTGATGGTGTTCTGCAAAGTGTGATGGAGAGTGACAATATGTGATGGTGTTCTACAATATGTGATGGGGAGAGACAATGTGTGATGGTGTTCTACAATATGATGGTGTTCTACAATGTAATGGTGTTCTACAATATGTGATGGGGAGAGACAATGTGTGATGGTGTTCTACAATATGTGATGGAGGGAGACAATGTGTGATGGTGTTCTACAATATGATGGTGTTCTACAATGTGTGATGGTGTTCTACAATATGTGATGGGGAGAGACAATGTGTGATGGTGTTCTACAATGTGTGATGGTGTTCTACAAAGTGTGATGGAGAGTGACAATATGTGATGATGTTCTACAATATGTGATGGTGTTCTACAATGTGTGATGGTGTTCTACAATATGGGATGGAGAGTGACAATATGTGATGGTGTTCTACAATGTGTGATGGTGTTCTACAAAGTGTGATGGAGAGTGACAATGTGTGATGGTGTTCTACAATATGTGATTGTGTTCTAAAATATGTGATGGAGAGTGACAATGTGTGATGGTGTTCTACAATGTGTGATAGTATTCTACAATGTGTGATGGTGTTCTACAATGTGTGATGGTGTTCTACAATGTGTGACGGAGAGTGACAATGTGTGATAGTGTTCTTCATTATGTGATAGAGAGTGACAATGTGTGAGATTATTCTACATTATGTGATGGAGAGTGACAATGTGTGGTAGTGTTCTACATTATGTGATGGAGAGTGACAATGTGTGATGGTGTTCTACAATGTGTGATGGGGAGTAACAATGTGTGATGGTATTCTACAATGTGTGATGGTGTTCTACATTATGTGATGGAGAGTGACAATGTGTGATAGTGTTCTACATTATGTGATTGAGAGTGACAATGTGTGATAGTGTTCTACAATGTGTGATGGGGAGTAACAATGTGTGATAGTATTCTACAATGTGTGATGGTGTTCTACATTATGTGATGGAGAGTGACAATGTGTGATGGTGTTCTACAATGTGTGATGGGGAGTAACAATGTGTGATAGTATTCTACAATGTGTGATGGTGTTCTACATTATGTGATGGAGAGTGACAATGTGTGATAGTATTCTACATTATGTGATGGAGAGTGACAATGTGTGATAGTATTCTACATTATGTGATGGAGAGTGACAATGTGTGATGGTGTTCTACAATGTGTGATGGGGAGTAACAATGTGTGATAGTATTCTACAATGTTTGATGGAGAGTGATAATGTGTGATAGTGTTCTACATTATGTGATGGAAAGCGACAATGTGTGATAGTGTTCTTCATTATGTGATAGAGAGTGACAATGTGTGATATTATTCTACATTATGTGATGGAGAGTGACAATGTGTGATAGTGTTCTACATTATGTGATGGAGAGTGACAATGTGTGATAGTGTTCTACATTATGTGATGGAGAGTGACAATGTGTGATAGTGTTCTACAATGTGTGATGGTGTTCTACATTATGTGATGGAGAGTGACAATGTGTGATGGTGTTCTACAATGTGTGATGGGGAGTAACAATGTGTGATAGTATTCTACAATGTGTGATGGTGTTCTACATTATGTGATGGAGAGTGACAATGTGTGATAGTATTCTACATTATGTGATGGAGAGTGACAATGTGTGATAGTATTCTACATTATGTGATGGAAAGTGACAATGTGTGATGGTGTTCTACAATATGTGATGGAGAGTGACAATGTGTGATGGTGTTCTACAATGTGTGATGGGGAGTAACAATGTGTGATAGTATTCTACAATGTTTGATGGAGAGTGACAATGTGTGATAGTGTTCTACATTATGTGATGGAGAGCGACAATGTGTGATAGTGTTCTACATTATGTGATGGAGAGTGACAATGTGTGATAGTGTTCTACAATGTGTGATGGTGTTCTACATTATGTGATGGAGAGTGACAATGTGTGATAGTGTTCTCCATTATGTGATGGAGAGTGACAATGTGTGATGGTGTTCTACAATATGTGATGGAGAGTGACAATGTGTCTACAATGTGTGATTGAGAAAGAAAATGTGTGATGGAGTGTGACAATGTGTGGCAGTACACAGTAATGGCCGCAACGTGCGAGACCGCGTATGCCAGTTTACAAAGCGATAACATTTTACAATATGTGTCCTATGTGACTGTATATCACAGAAACAGTATGTTACAATATGTGACCCGACACGGCCAGTATTGGCAATATCACATGATCCGACACGGCCAGTATTGGCAATGTCACATGATCCGACACGGCCAGTATTGACAATGTCGCATAACCCGACACGGACAGTATTGGCAATGTCACATGACCCGACACGGCCAGTATTGGCAATGTCACATGATCCGACACGGCCAGTATTGACAATGTCGCATAACCCGACACGGCCAGTATTGGCAATGTCACATGACCCGACACGGCCAGTATTGGCAATGTCACATGGGGGAAACCCTGAGCAGACCGTGTTGGCCTGCAGACAGGGTGAGACGAACTGCATTGGGCGGTGTGTCGTGTGTCGTGGAGCGGTGTCGTGACAGCCTACGGTGACAGCCTCAATGTATGTGACAGACCGTACGTGACCAGATTGAATCCAGCATCAGCCGCAGGGAGCCCAGTGTGTTTCACGCTTCGTATCGAGTACATCAAATACAGATGTCGTGCACACATGTGCTACAAGTTTGTCACGTGACCAAAAGACTCAAGCGTCACGTGTTGATTGCGGGTTATCAAAAAGCAGTCCGTATTTATGAACTCGGAAACTGAAGATTAACACAAGCAGTCTGTGTGTATAATTGGACGGTGGAGGCTTCCAAACTTCTTTTATAATCAAATACGCTTTTGCTTATTCTTTCGTTTAGCTATACATTTCAAAATACTTCATTTTCTGCAGTTACATAAGTTCAGATAATATTGCCTGTTTATTTATTTTTCAAATTGATTAAACGCTATATCCAACATATTGATTAACCACAGGTTAGCTGGTTGTTTCTGGTGCCGTTAATATGATT